ACCACAAAACTCATCTAAAAAGAAGCATTGCTTAGTATATTGAATAAAGTCAGAATGGCTTCTCAAAAATAAAGGAGCACGATTAGACTTGGAAACTAGCATTTAAAATAAAGTTAAGTTCATGGAAAAGGGATATCTGGCCAATACTACAAGGCTTTCAAGAATATTAATTGTCAAAGCATCTTAAAGAAGCTAAGTAGTCATGGCATAAAAGGATGGTCATGTACAATTTGTTGAAAGATTAGAAAAGGTGAATTTTCATAGTGGAGACCTACTGTGTTGAGGGTTTCACATGTGCTGGGTTATGTGCTAATCAACACTACAAATATATAAACTACTAATTAAAGAGAAAAAAGCACTTTTATGTTTATGAAATTACTTTGTTTAAAATAGATTTTATGAAACACAAGATTATATATTGGCAAATAAACTTTAACATGAAGTGATGAAAGAAACAACAACAAAAAATTATTCCAACACCTATAGGCAGTAAGGAGACTATCTGTATTAAAAGAAGGCAAAATTTGGGGTTACAATAGTAAATTCTAAGGGAAAAAAATAAAGAAAAAAATAAAAATGGACAGTTTAAAGTGTTATGGCAGTCAAAATAAACTTGGTAATTCTTAGGAAAGCTGTTCTGCTTGACAAATAACATAGTGGAAGTATTTAGATCCAAATACAACTCTTAAAAATCTTAGAAGCTTAAAGAAGTGTAAATTAGGAGCTCAGAAAAATCCATGGTCAAATGTCAGCTGTTTCCAGAGCATAACAGAAGTCAGTTGTGTGGAATGATTTCTCAGTAACCACAGTATTAACATCAGCACTAAAAGAAATATGTTTGTAAAGAAGAAAGTCTCTTTCAACAGTGTAATAAAAATCTTTCTATGAGCACCAAAGTTTATACATACCTCCTGAGCTCTGCTTACACAGGGGCCAGCAGAAAAACCCATGTGAGCAACATTTTATCCCCTCACAAGAGTTTAAAAGATGCATTTTCTATACTCATTTCTAGTACTGAATTTTTCTTTGTGTCTAGAATTGACAGGAGAATTTGCCCTTTTTAAGTAACTTAAGTAATAGTGTGATTGTCTTGTAATGGCTTTTCTTCTAAGGTAATGCACAAAAAAGCTTTATTTCTGGTATTAAATTTGTCACATTCCTAAATATTCTCAAAAATACATGTAGTTGAATTTAAAAAAAAAATCCCACTGGTCTGTTCTTTTAAATTTATTTCAAAGTAGGATAGAACTATTTCTATTTTAATATTTTTTGCTACTTTACTAGTCGAAGTCATTAACCCAGCAGATCTCTCTTGTTGCCCAACTGTGCTTCCTACTTTGATGCTGCAGAAATAATTAAAAGGAATGTAATGTTTCTTGATCTCCAAAATTACTCTATGCATTCAAAAGTAATAGAACCCCTTGGATATTTGAAGTAAAACACTTAACTTTGGGCACATCCTCTAAAACGTCCAGCCAGAGCGCTGCGGGCCAAAGGAATGTTCACTAACAAGAAGTCCTAGGCCCATGGTTGCCCACCATCTTCCACTGAGAAGTGTACTGAGCAGTTTGGAGTGTAGCTTGGAGCACAACTAGAAACTCTTTGGCTTTCTTCCAGGTATATACTACAGTTTTATTCTCTCTTCTGGCAAAGTAACAAGTTCTGGTACACATTTGCTGAATAAAAGCCCAGACAAACAATCCTAGAATATGACCTGCAGTTAGAGCACAAGTAACACGTGCATCTCAGTATTTACAAAGTATTGACAACTATAAAGACTTTTCAAACAGAAAAAAATCTGCAAGATGTTTTGTTGAACATCGAAGGAAGAAAGCAGAAAGGGCAAAACTCAGTAGAAAAGAGTATAATGCATCATGTTCACTGTTAGACAGTTTCTTCTGCCATTCTAGGTACAGTGTCCTCTGCAGTCACCCTAGGAGAATTAGGATTACACAGCAGCAACTACAATCAGACCTACAAAATGCGCAAACCTTCAAATTTATTTGATCAGTCACACTTTATAACTAGTAAAAGCAGTTTTCTGAAGCTTATGTTACGTTGTGACATCTGATGGGGATGATTATTTTATATAGCTGCTTCTTGAAAACCATACTTTGGTATGTATTAGTCATTAAAGATGATGTTCCATAAAGAAACTCATAGCTTCAAAGACTGACATTTTTCTCAAGTTGAATTTTCTTTATATTAAGGAAGAATTCATTTTCATTTCAAGTATACTGGCTTTGTGGAGGTGTGAAAAATATCTGAAAGTATTACCTTTTTACTGTTAAAAAAAAATAAAATCTTATATTCATGTAGATGTATGTCCTTCATAAACTTCTTATCTCAGTAACTGGAAAATTCCATGGATGGGTTACTAAACCCACCTGAAGGCAGAGGTATTTGCCCATTCCTGATGCTGTCCTGCCCAGCACCAGCAAAACAATCAGTAAGTAAGAAATCAGTGAAGTGTGGTAACTGACATTAGTGACATCAAATGACAAATTAGTATATCTGTCTTAGCTATTGTGTATTTATTTCTCAAGCTCCCAGCTTCATTTTTAAATGTAAAGTTTGTTCTGCATGCTCATCTCCAGGACAGGTTAAAACTCCACGTATGTTGTCCCTTTAGCCCATCTGAAGACTTACAGTGGAGTTACCACTCAAAACAAGGGAAGAACTCTGGTTAAAAAGATAATATAAGTATTACATTTTCTTTGTCATGGAAAGCTGGTCTAAAGTAAGTGGTGTTGAGTTCTAGGAAATCTTATTTTCAATTAGTCTTGAATCTTTTGTTGTTGCTGCCGTCATTGATGGGAAGTTATGGTATGCTTAGAATTTCTGTGGAGAATATGTTTACTGTCATTCATCACTGAGATTTACAGAGATCCCATAACAGCAATTAAATGTGGTTGTTTACTCAGTGCTGTCACCAGAGGAGGATATAGCCTGTGGAGTGGAACTATTCATGGGCCTGAAAATGTTTTGTTTGTCAGTCACATCTAAAATATGAGCCAACAAGCGTTTCTTTTAGGGTCCTCTACACATTTCAAGAAAATCAGAGTTCTTGGCCAATAAAGAGTCTTTGGTTTAAATGCTTGTTTTGTCTGTAAACCCAAATGAAACACTTCACTAAGTCATTCAAAATTATAAAAGGATGACAGGCTTTCTTTGTAAACACTTATGTGCTGTTACTTGTAACCCTCACTTGGTGACAAAGAGGAAACCCCAGTGTAAAAGTCATTCCTATTGTTCATCCCTTGGTCAAACAGAAGTTGCATGATGCATAAATCAGTGCCTAAAGTGCAAAAACCTTCACTGAAAGACTTAGACAAAAAAAAGGGTGAAATAAAAAAAGGAAGCATTTATTTTACTTTGCAGCTCAAAGCTGCTCCTCACATCAGGGTTTCAGAGAGACACAGAGAAACATTACGCTTTGGATCACAGAGATCCTGCGGTGATATATTCAAAGAAGATTTCAAGTTTTTGCATTCATAAATTGAAAATAAACAAGTGGTTTCATAAAGGAATAAGATGTTACCATGTCTCCCATAATAGATACAGAAAATCTCTAGTAAGTGCAAGATATGATGCCACATCCAAGAGAAAAGCACCAAGTGGTGTTAGGGGAGGTTTAGGTTAGATCTAAGAAAAGCCTTTCACACAGAGGATGGCTGGGCACTAGAACAGGCTCCCTAGGGAAGTGATCACAGTGCCAAGCCTGAGAGAGTTTAAAAACTCTTTGGACAATGCTCTCAGGCACATGGTGTGACATTTGGGGTGTTCTGTGCAGGGCCAGGAATTGGAATCTATGATCCTAGTCAGACTCTTCCAGCTCAGGATAGTCTATGATATTGTCTTCAGTTCACTTCTTTCTTCAGTTCCCTACTGTCAGGGTGCACTTGAGAGATTTATAAATATCTGCACAGCAGACTCATTGGAGTGATGAAGTAAATACCATGAAATAGGACAAAGCAGCAAAAGGAAGTACATGTAGAGTGTCATGGTGTGAGTTTTCTGCAGCACTGCTAAGGACTGCTTCATGCAGTAGTGCAGCAGCATGGGCAGTCCATGTCAATATTCAGTGAAATAGCTTATTCAGAGCCTAGCAGACTCAACTACTCAAATAAAGGTTATCACTCCTAAATGGAGCAAGAAGTGAGGCATATCCTATAAAAACATTATTTTATAGAAGCAGGTCTATTCAGTGCTTTAAAACTACCACTGGAATAGCTGGTATGACCTTCACTTTTCAATGGGCAAATTTTTTTATCAATCCATAACTGTCATAGTTGATGAAACTTTCTACTACCATACCTAAAAGCTTCATAAAACTTCCACTATTCCTGAAAATTAGTAATAATGTGTGGTTCTTCTAATGGGTGCTTATGTGTGATTGCAATATTAAGAACACACTCTGATTTAAAGTACTTTGTTTTTAACAGGAAGCAGTATAGTAATTTCCAAAATTTCAGAGTTGGTTTACTTTAATAACATTTATAAACTACAAGTAATTTCTTCCACTGCTATAGAATATTTTTAATAAATACAAGACAATTTAAACTTTTTTCACTTTCTCAGCTGAAAAATTAATTTTTTCAATGAAATCTATAAACTGGAAGAAAACTCAAGATGCAAAAAGCTGTTATGTGTGCGTATATGTATATATATATATATGTTTTTGTGTGTATATATAATTACAATACCAAGTTAGGAAATTTAATTGTTATAAGTTCTTCAGTCAAACCTAAGTTGAGCATAGTCATATTTTTAAAAGTGCCTTTTTATAACCCAAGGAAAACAGGAGGCAACAAAGGTTACAGGAGATATTGTAATCCCTACAGTACTCTTTCTTCACATATTCTTCAGTGACACTTAAAACTAATTTACAGAAAGCACTAACCAGTTCCTTCATGTACTGGGAAAATGCAAGAAAAATATACTTTAAAAGTTTTCTGTTTTAAGTGTTGATATCAAACATCAGGTCACACAGGTATTTGCCAGTTCACTTTTACTGCTCCACAGGGAAAGTGTCACAGCAGAAAGCAGATAAAGGAAAACCTTATACTACTCAGTAGAAGTTATTAATGGATTAAGCGACAAGTTTATGGTTGTGGGGACCTGCCAGGGTGCCCTGTGTGACAAGAGAACAGGAGCCACCCCCATAGACAGAACCAGTCCCAGCCAGCTCCACTGACATTCAAAGCTGAGCCCATCAACAACACTGGTAGCTTTGTGATAATGTTTTTAAGAAAGGGCAAAAAGTGCTGCATGCCAGTTATGAGATGGAGACAGAAAAAAAAACATGAGCAAAAAAGGCCTGCAGATGCCAGTGTCAGTGTAGGTGTGGAAAGAGTTTCTTCAGGCACCACCAGAACAGAGCTCAACCTGCAGCCCATGTAGACAGCGTGGAGTTGCTTATCCAAATGCAGCCCATGGACAGGAACACAGCAGATATCCACACTGATGCTTGGTGGGAGAGGATGTAAAAGCACCAGGAGTGAATTTGATCCTGAGAAGAGGGGAGGGATGAGGGCAAAGAGGGTTTATTTTTGTCTTTGTTCCTTACTCTCCTATTTTTAATTGGCAATTAATCTTCCCTAGTCAAGTTTATTTTGCCCGTGATGATAATTAGCAGGTGATCTTTATAGTGACCCCTGAGCTTTTTGACCTTATTTTCTGATCCTGTCTTGCTGAGGAGAGTGAGCAAAAGAGCAGCTGGTTGGGAGTCTCACAGTCAGCCAAGGTTAACCCACCACAATTTTGTAGATCTAGGATAAGAATTATTTAGCCACAAAGGACTCTGGAGAACCTTCCAGAGTTCTCTGAAAACAGAACTTAATTGTTTTATTAGAGGGCTAATATAATATTTCCTGCAGCAATGACACAGGACATCAAAAGGGTCCTGTGCTGTGCATAGGACCTTTAAATCAGGCTGATTGTGCCTCTTTAGATAAATACCTTTAGAAATTTATTCAATGACATCTCTTACTAGCATTGTGAAAAATGGCAACAAGTGAACATCAGTGATTAGTTCCTCATAGCATTCAGACCCATAGGAAAATAAGCATCATTTTAACCTGCCTACAATTTTGCTACTAGTGATTTTGGATTCCCATTCTGAGTGTGATTTCTGGAAGGCAAGTGCTCATTATCTGAAAGTACCATGCACCTAAAACATCTTTGATTAAAAAAAAAAAACACTTTCAGAATTCTCACTCCACTCCTTACTTAGAGGTAATTCTCAACACAAAAATATAGTTACTTTAATTTAAGGGCACAGGAATCAACAGGTTAGGAAAAAAAGGGTTCTTAGAGTACTAATTCCTGAATTGAAAAGCTTTATGTTCAACAGCACAAAAGGCCTTACTGAGCTGTAATTTAACTTTGCTTGCTTACACTGTTATAGGTCTGAATTGACAACATGAAAAGATAAAGATATCAGTCATAAAATAAGTAACTTGAATATGGTCTGTGTTTCAAATGAAGACTGGATTAAGAATAAGTGCAAATGAAAAGAAAACACATGAAGCTAAACCTTATCATGTCTACAGAAAATTCTAGTTTCCCTAAAATATCTACATGAAATCAGAATGTGAATAAAACCTGCCAATATTCACAAATATCCCAAGTTGTATTAGCCTAAGGGAAGAACTCTGATCTTTACAAAAATTTGTTCTCATAGTGCTATGACATCCAGTGTCTTCTAGATAAAAAAAGCAATAAAAAAGTCTATCCTGATTGTAAACCCTAAAGTAAAGGATTACTGTGATAAAGTCAAGCAGTTGTCTCTGTAGAGCATTTTAGATTTTCTGCAATGGAAAAAGCTGAGAGTGAGACATAAGTGGAGGAAGAGGATCTGTTAGTGTTTGACATTAACTAGCAAAAAGCTCTCAAACTGTTAAACTGGTGATTCTCCTTCCTAGGGCTCTTTCCACATTCCTTCAGGCTGCAGGAAGCTAAATAGTCTTTTTGTAACAAGGAGTACCTGGTAGGTTCTTCTATTTTTCAGGAGAATTTCATGTACATTAAATGGTGAAACCATAATCATAAAAATTCAAAAAGCATAAATATAAAAAATATGTTGAACATGATACAATATAATAGTACAAAAACTCTGGGGAAGAAAATATTTCTGTAACTTCCTAGTGACTGGAAAAGAACTGATTCCAGGTACTGTAATTAATTCATTGTAAAATAAATGAGCAGATTACAGCAGAGAATATTGAATTCCCAAGGTTGATTTATTCACAATTATTTGTATGCCTGAGCAGGTGTCTTGATAGCAACATCAGCAGCAAATTTTACAATTCACAGGTGTAACATCCCTTTCAGAACTCCAGCAAAGACAGCTGTGTTTGAACAATTTCAGCCTGCCAATAGTTTCTCACAGCCCTGCTTTTCCCAAGATGCTGTGTCCCCAGAACTGCTGCAAACTTGTTTCACTCCTTCACTACAGAGAAATGAAAGATTTTGTGCTTAGGCAGACTCATAAGGTTATTTGATGCATTGCTGTTTCGCAGCTACATATATAGCATAAATCAGCAATTCCCTAGTGTGCAGGAGCAAGGTTACTGTTTGCAGTCTTCAAACTTTCCTCATTTAAAAGCCATGCAAAACTCCAGTGAAAAGTTTGGTGTTTGCCACAAGACTCGTAAGTCCATTTTAGATATTAATAAATGTCCATTCCAAAGGTGGCACAGCTTCATGATCAATGAAGGATTTCTCTTCATGTGATATCTGTGAGACTATTATCCTGATTTTACAAGGGAAAACACAGAAAACTAGAATCCTGAAACCCACTGCATAACTGACTTAAATGGCTATTCCTTAAAAACAGGAAGGATTAATAATTTTTAAGAGGATTAGTAGGCGCCTCAAAACTCCATTACTAAAAACAGAACAGCCTAAATTACTTCATAATAATGTGTGGGTACAAAACTAAGGTATGTTTTTTTCTGTGCTGTTGCTGCATTATTTTGGCATTTAGTAAGAAGAGACAGTCTTATTAAGTCTCAGAATGAAGATCTATCCTTCTATAAATCCTCTAGAAATTATAATATAGTAAAAATTAATTTTATATGGCACCATAAATTCTCCTAAGATACATCAGATATACTGTGATCTATTTGGTTATTTTAATTAAAATAAAAAAATTTTTTTTTAAAATTAAAACTAAAATTTTAGTGAGATATTTGAACAGTTTAAAGGAAATCAAATGAAGGAAAAATTCTTCAGTGTGCCTCTAATTTTGGTAGCAAACTCTGAAAGCTGCAAGAAACACTTGTACTCAATCAAACCTATTAAAAGCCCCCAAGACAAACATACCAAAGAGCATTAATTCTAACCTCACTTATATAAAGCAAATTATACAGATTGATTGTTCCACCAGTTTTCATGGCTTATCCAGCCAATGTCAGCCTGGTCTACATAAGACAGCTAAAGCCTTTTAGCTGTTGGAAATGTGGTCTAGCTATGCCACTGAGTGAAAGCACACTGCTAGCAGAGAACAAAAGCAACTGCTGCACTGAAGGCTGCGCTTTTAAGAATGGCATTTTAGTTCTAATGAATCTCTTCCTGACATCCCAGCATATCAGAAGTACTATTGTGATCTCAGTTCTCTGCTCCTCAGTCAGCAGGGGCTAAAACTGACTGCTCACTTAACTTCATAGGGAGAGGGACTACCTCTTACCTCATGAAACTTAAAAGTGATCCTTCTGGCTGGATAAGAGAGACAGACCCCAATGGGAGAGGCATCAGTTCTTACTCAGCTGAAAGAAAGGTGGTTCTGATGACAGGATTCAAAGGAAGAATAATAAAATACAGCAAAGTGGTGGAGCATTTTTACACTGAATGATACTTATGATCCCCCAGTGGATGTCTCCTTTGCTAAACTCCGAATTTTATTCTCATCTACAACGTTATGAGTTTTGTTCTGACAAAAAAAAGATTTAGTACCATTATACTATGATATTTTACTGTGACATTTTACTATGACATATGATCAGTAGCTGCAATCAGGCTATAATTACTTCACAAATATATTTGAAAAACGTAAAAAGGCTCTTAGGAAATCGCATACACTCTCCTTTCCTTAGTGGCATTTGTAAAAACCACGTATTTCAAAAATCTTCTGTATTATAGAAGTGTTTCTGTGCATAAGGAAAGATTGCCTAACTCCCCAGTGGCTAAGAAGTGTTAAACATGCATTAGCATCTCTGATGTATCAATTAGTCAAATTAAATAGAGGCAAGTCAAAAGAAAAAACCTACAGATCCATAAAGTTCATAAATAGACCAAGAAAGGCATTTGTGATAACTTCTGCAATACCAGTACCTGGCCCTCTTTTACAACTAAGTCATACTTTAGCACTAAAAAAGTGACAAAACTTCAGGTACAGTGCTAAAAGCAAAATATTTGTCAATATTTTAGAGCTTGAAGAACTAGGTGAGCTTGAAAAGCCAAATATTTTCATAAATCCTAAGTAAATTTCTTGTGTATGTGATGTTCTGCTTAAATATAACAGACTTGAATAAGATAGGGTGGTTTGATTGTTTTACTGTTTGTTTTCTTTTGGAGGGGTTGTGTTTTGAGGGGTTTTGGGGATTTTTTCCCCCAGTATGTCCTTATAACCTTGAATTTCCATTCCTTGTTTCAATAGTAGATTGGAAGTGATAAGATTTTGCAAATAAACATTTTAATCTCTTCTAATCCATTGATCTAACGAGTTCTTGTGGCATTTCCAGCTAACATTATGGAATAAAGATTTTGGCTACTCAGAAGTTTGTTTTCCTTTATATTATAAACAGAATTAAAGGGTGTTATTTCTTTATTTCATTACTAAATTCTTTACTCTGATCAAGCCAAACCTAAGTAAGCAGAATTTGACCTTCTAATCAAAGCAAGAATAGTAATAGCTGTATTTATATTAATAAACTAAGAAATAGTAATAGCTAAAAGAATTTGGAAGTAATAAAATTATTGTAATACAGTGGTTCTTTAATTAGCTGAGAGCTCTGTTATTTTTTGAAGAGTGATCAACATAAACCTAGATCCAAAGAGCTAAGTGTTTGGAAGAATTTATTTATTTTAAACCAAGTTTCTTTACCTGTTTAATACCTTTCTTTAAAATATTTTATGTTTCTTTATGACACTTCTCAACTGTTCAGAAATTACACAGATGTTTACCTTTGTGCACTGGGAAAGGCCTTAATGTTGGAGCTTCTATTTGCAGAAGAAGAAGCAATGCCCTCTGGAATCGTCCCTTTCATAATCCCCAAACCAATGAAGATAATAAATATGTTCACAGAGTGGGACTGGCTGGTCTACTAACATGTCCTGTGGGACTCAACTAATAGCAATCTTTTTGTCAGAGCTGCCAGCAATAATGTGGATTATTTTGAAAGTTTTGAGATACCAATCTTTCACTGTCCTCCAGGGCTGCCTGGAGGACAGAAGTAGAGTTTCATGAGAAAATAACAAACTTCATCTCACGTTAGAACAAATATGATAACTCTGAACTACTGAGGAAAAGATATTAAAAAAAGAAAAAGTTATAGCCCAGTTTGAGCACCCATTTGGTGTCCTGAGAGTTCCAAACCACATGCTAGCCAAAAGAAAAAAAAAAATAAATATATATATATAAATAATTTGTAAAAAAATCTAACATCTACTGCTACACAAAAATAACTTCCAGTACCACCAAGGTATCTATTTTTTGACAAGTCTGGATTAGCAACACACAAAATAATGTTATTACTCCTATTTTTCTCCTTTTCTTTTTAAATCTCCCATTACTTGAAGAGAGATTGCCAACTATGCTCACAGACTCTGTTCTAAAACACCAAGCTGTCAGTAGTGTGACTGCTGTACTTTTAAAGAGTTTGCCACACCCTTTGAAAGCATTTGGAAACAGAAAGGCTTCTAAGAACAACCTGTTCATATTTCATCACTGCCAGTTTCCACTCTAAGTTATGTAAAGCAAGATAAACAATCTGGGAACATCCAGAAGGTGCACAAAGTTCACGGTATAAGGTTAATGCAAAAACTGCCTAATTCTATTTCACAATATCTCATCTTAAACTTCTTTTCAGAATTAGTAGGAGCACTGCATGTCATTAAAGTCAGCAGCCCATATAGATGTCCATCCATCACTACAGACCTCGCTGCACATTTTAAACACACTTGAAGTTTCTCATTCTAGCTAAATTATTAGTTTTTCCTCTCTTAAAGAAAGATGTGAAATTAATCATGCAATTACCTTAACATCCTGCTGAGACAGAAAGGGTCCTTGTAACTCATCTGTAGTTGTATACTTTGTTTTTGGTATGACAGCTGATCAGATAAAGAGCAGTCAGACTGAGTCTGGGGCAGGAAATCTTTCAAGGCTTGTGGTATAGCCTGTTCCTGGAGATTAAGCCAAATTTGTGGAACAAGCTTTGCTCCCGGAGAGAAAGGAAGTCCTTTCTAGAAGCACCTGAACAACTTCAGCTGGGCAGGCACACCCCCAGGAAACAAACACATCACAGGTGTGGATAAGGAGATTTGGAAAGAAGAGCCAGGAATAGGAATCAGAACTAATAAACAGTGGGGAAAGGAAGAGCAAAGTGGAGTTTTGGGATTAAAAAAAAATTGTTGGTTTTTTTTTTCTATAGGTTGATTGATATTTTTTGTTGAATGAAATTCATTGCATCAATATTTAAATGAATGCTATTTTAGCTTTAATAAATTTTAAGCTTCAAGCAGAAGCTCCATCTCAAAGTTCTGTCTAGTTTGCAGTCCCAGCATGTCCATACATCTTTATTTTCTTTAGAAGTTATTTGGCTTACCAAGAGAAAAAAACTAAACTGATTAATTTTCAGATCCACATTCTTTGTGTAATAGAAACAATGGACACAAATTTAATTCTGCTTGTCAGTAACAAGTGAACTATTTAGACATACAGATGCTATATCTGTTAGAAAATGTCTTTAATTGAGAAAAATGTGAATATATAAAAAAAACCCCTTATCTTTTCAGACTCAAACATTCAATTAGAATTCATTGGTTTCAGCAGAACAAATGTTTCTCGGTTCTAGATAGTAGTTGAAAACTAAGCAAAGATTAAAAAAAAATAGGCAAGGATTTTCACTTAGCTACAGAACACCTTACTGTACAAAATATTACAAAAATATTTGCTTTTTCTTAGTTCTGAGTAAAGCTAGGAGCTGTTGTGTCAAGCAGTCCTGGTTGCAATTGCTCATTTACTGCCATTGCATGTTCAGCTGCCAAAAGGAAAGGACTCCCTTCCTTGGTGGGCAGTTTGCACACCTGAGTGAAGGATAACAATGCCTGGTCTCAAACTGCAAGTGCAAATATGAGGCGGGACTAGAGAGAATTTTGAAGAGCTTTGATGAAATATTTCTTTCCATGTCTTCTCAAAAAAAATCAAATCTTGAAAACCATCTCAGGGGAGAAATATTTTTTAGCTGTGCCCTTCTCTAGGAATATTATCAAGAAATTTCTCCTAAGGAGCAAAGCATTTGCATTAACCTTACAAGAAAATGCCCTTAACTGGTACTGCTAATCATAATGATGGGTAGGGGAATCATTATGTAAATGATCATTTATGAAACATCTCACTGTTATCCCAACAGGACAATAAAGCAGTTTATAAATAAAATAAGTCAGTAAGGCAGAATAAGAATTTTCTTCGTCTTTTTGTTGTCAGTGACAAAGGTTCTTTCGATATTTTGGTCACACTGAAAAAGACTTCAACATGTTTGAAATAATTTCTGAGATACAGAAAGATTTTGAGAGAAAGTAGGTCTGATACTTCCCCTCCCTACTGCACTCTTCAAAGACAGTAAGCAAAGATTAGCAAATACTTTGCTAAAAAAGCCAAACTTCTCAGTGAAAATTCAAATCTCATAATGCATACCAAACTATGACTTTATGGTAGCATAAAGATCTGATATTCTTATTTTTGATCCCACAAAGTTAATTTGTGGTATCATAGTTTAACCTATCCACACTAATGGGAGAAGACAGGTCAGTTTAGCTTGTGTTCTATTAGTTGAAAGAACTCTTACAGACTCATAGCAAATATTAATCTAATATCATGTACTGTTTTAATAGAAGGCTGTAGTCATTGTTAAGAAATAGGGGAAAGCAGAGAAATCTTTTCCATCTTCTGATTAGTATGTAGGGGTTTTCTGACCTAGAGACCTGATCTATAACATTATTTTTAATACCTATTGAAAAAACAGGTAAATTTTGATACAGAAGCAGTATATAAACAGATTAATCAGATCAGAAAGGAAAATTGTGAATTTATCACAAAAGGTTTTCTGATTCTGAAATTGTCTGGAATCAGTTTCGTGAAATTAGCATTAACCATATTTTTAAAATATCAAGAATGTGCGAGGCAAGCCACAGTTTGTGACATTTTTGGATTTTTCTTTAAAGACAGTACTCTGGAAAATTGCTGGTGGGACAGAAATCTCTCAGACAGCTGGAGAAAGGAAGAAGTTAGGATCATACAGAATAAAATATATGGTTGTGAACAAAAAAGAGGTTATAACAAGTGTCACTCTAAAATATATATATATATATACTTTTATCTAAAGGAATCATCTGAGAGACAGGTTTGCAGGATGTCATTACAGCTAGCACCTGCAGCATGTTTTACATCTGAATGTCCTGATTAAACCCTTCTCTTTGATACTCCACAAATCCTAAAGGGTTTCTGAGAACTCAGGCACCTTCTGTTAAACAGATTTCCCACTTGTCCAAATAAAGTTTGAATACTACTGTATTAGTTAGAAGAAAAATCACCTCCAATACAATTCACCAACAATAGATTAAGAGAACCATCCTGGTTCCTAATTTCCTCGTGGTGAAGGAGACTTAAAAGTTCATCTATCAGGCAACTTGTAACATGTAACTGCATTTCTGCAAAAGATCCTGTCTGGTTTCATTGGGAGTTCTTTGTCTGATTGCTTGGGTTTTTTTACTCCAAAAAGGTGAGTTTTAAGTGGTTTTGACTATGATACCTGGAACCAAAAAGTTGTGAGGCAGATGACTTCAGCTGGATTGAATACGGAGGCACTAGCTGCATAATATTTAGCTACAGATTAGTGTCAGGATTTGCAGAAATTTCTACCTCTATCCAAGAGTGAGGTAAATTTAGAGGATGAAAGTATTTCATGGATACTTTTTTTGTGGGAGAAATACTTTTTTTTGTCATGAAATAGTTGTCTTTCTCATGCAAGTTTGTAGTTGCTAATTTTTTTCATATGGTAGCAAATTACAAAGAACTGAAAATTCAGAATCTCAATTTCATCTTCAATAACAAAAATATCTTCAACATTCCACCTCTCTTTGTATCCCATCCCTACCCTCTGCCCATCTTTCTGTTTTGGAGGCAGTGCCAAAAAGTAGGTAGGTATATAGGTAAATAATTATTGCATTGAAAATTCCTGAGAACTCCTACACTGTTTCTAGTTGTCCTGCAGTGCTGAGAATTTTAGGACTGTTCTCCATCAAAGTGGGGAGAAGGAAGAAGATGGCACAGCATTCATCATGACAGTAATTGCAAATACTAAGGAAAGTTCTTGCAAAGCGCTTCCAGGAGAAAGAGTTCACAGAATATCACAAACTGCTTGTTAAGGGCTCCTTCTTGAAATATGGGACTGAATTGATGCTACTCAGGAGTTTAAGAACCCAACAGCAGACATTTTCAAGCATCTATGAGACTTTAAGAAGACACTAAGAAAGTTTTGAGAAGATGTCTTAGTATTCTCAAGAGCTACACATACTGTCTTTTTGACTTGTGTGCGACAAAAGGGATAGAACTATATTTCATACCTGAAATTCTTTGTTTGTTCTTGAAAAGAATTATTCCCTGAACTTTTGTCCTTATGAAAACTGCATAGACTTTCATTTCTTAAAAGATTGTTTTAACTTATATATTTATTTATTTTCAAATGCTGGGACTATTAAAGGGCTGGACTCAAAATAATATAGCCCATTTGTATACATCTGTGGAATCTATAAAAAAAATTTGGACAAAATTTTTCAAAAAAAAGGTTTTTTTTACATCACTATCCTTTAAAAACCCAAAAAGTATAGCTGGGGAAGAAATAATTCAGGCAGATCAGTACTTGATTCTTAGTGCTGCCACTTATGTCTCTAACTAATAGAAGATGCAAATTATGAGAAATATGAGAAATCAGGTCAAAGGAAATATAATTTACTCACTACACGACACTACACTCACTAAATCACTACAGACCTCATAGAAAACCTAGTTTTTATTTTAAAGGTTTCATAAACCAAAACTAATAAGTGTTTTTACAGTCCAAAATGTTTTTCCAGTGTTTTCTCCTTTAGTATTGATGTGTCATATAATCAATTTTAACTATTCAATAGGAGGAAGTTGCTATAGGCAGGTCTTGCAGACTAATTGTGTTTTCAGGAAAGGATGAAATGTTAAAAAATTAGATGAAAGACGAAATAGATCTTTTCAGGTCCGAGGAGAATTGATAATGCATGTTATGGGTATGTTATACTCCAAGAACTGTTACAGCCAAAAAAAACCCATAAAGGTACATATACAGCCAAGGATATATTTTAACCTAACAATAATCATAACAGTCTAAATAAAATAGAACCAACTCATTGGTGTTGTTGCACTAATATTAAGTTATAGTCCCTATTCATGGACTGAAAAGCCTTACTATTGATGTCACTAAGATTGTTATTCAACACTTAAATAACTTTTTCTTTGGTGTTGTGTCACATCTGCTGTGTCTCAGGGTCCATTTTAGTTATCTTTACCAAGCATGGAAGTGGCCAAGCATCAGCATCCTGAGTTGTTTCCAAGTAGGGCTTCAGTTTGGATGTGTCTACAGGATCCTTTCTAGCTCACTGCTGGCATTCAGCTGGGATTATCTTTACACACCTTCTTAGAAATCTGACCAACATAGAATTATAAAAAGGTGTTAAAATAGCTCAGGCTGAGGCAAGTCCAGACAAGTCCTGAGAGCTGCACAATCAGGTCAACACAAAATCTGTAGCCTTGTACTAGTCATGAAAACAGTCATATTTACCTTCCTACTGGCGGGGAAAATATAGCAATAATGGTCAGGTAAAACTCACTGAAAGAGCAAACTGCTTTAGTAGATTATGCAATGACAGAATTCAACTGTTCAGTCATTACAGCTTGAAAAGAGGAAAATAATTTAACAAGGCCTAGGATGCAGCAAAAAATGGAAGGATCTGAATAGGAGATTAGAATTGTTAGGTCAGAAAGTTAGGTAAAAAAATGTATTATGGCAGTTAAAGCACTCTGTAGGTGGGGAAAAACAAAAAATGTTATATTGGCAAAAAAATTCTGCAAACCCAAACAAAAGCCTACACAAGCTCACACATTTAAAAATTACCATGAGCTGAATG